TAGTGATTTTTAAAGACCTTGTCAGGTGGCCCTTATATCTGGATCATTTATGAGACTGCTTATTTTTTCTTGATTATTGATTATATTTTTCTGCCTCTTCACAATAAAATGTTGGGCAGTATAAAAAATAATAAGGGCTCTAAATTATTCTATCTTCATTCTTATAAAGAGCTTAACCTTTCTTCTCTGAGGTGTGCAGGGTGAGGAGCTAATTATCTCATGCCAGTGATGACTGAGCTGCAGTAGGACTGGGTTGTAGTTGTACTAAGACTTGGTCTAACTCTCATTTGTCCCACTTTCACAGCCATGTCCCTACCTTACTTTTTATTGAGCCTTGGTGGGTTTCTTTCTCCTCAGCCCTGAAAGACCAGGAGAGAGTCAGCTGTGATATGCACTAGGGTGTTGGCTCTGTGCTACACTGGAGCCCCTGTGCATGGGGCAGTTCTTAGCCCCATAGCTAGAATAATCCAATGCCTACATGGAAGAAAGAGGCTACCAACAATTAACTCACCTTAGAAAGGCTTTTACCTCTCTAGATTTTTAGTTCACTTACTCCAGTTGTTCTCAAACTGTTTTGTCTTGGTTAGGACCCTTTTAAAAATTATTTAGGGGGTGAGTGTTGTGGCATAGCAGATTAAGCTGCCAATGCTCAGGGTGCCTGCATCCCAGATTAGAGTTCCTGGTGTGAGTCCCAGCTGCTCTTCTGATCCACCTCTCTGCTATGGCCTGGGAAAGCAGCTGAAGGTGGACCAAGTGCTTGGGCCCTCACACCCACATGGGAGACCTGGAAGAAGCTCCTAGCTTTGGATCGGCTCAGCTCCGACCGTTGCAGCCATCTGGGGAGTGAACCAGCAGATGGTTCACTCTGTCTCTCCCCCTCTCTGTCTGTAACTCTACTTCTCAAATAAATAATAATAATAATAATCTCAAAAAATTATTTAGGGGAGCTGGCGTTTTGGTGCAGGTGGTTAAGCTGTGGCCTAAGATGCTGGCATTCCATATCAGAGCACTGTTTCCAGTCCCGGCTGCTCCACTTCAGACCTGGCTCCCTGCTAGTGTGCTTGGGAAAGTGCTTGGGCTCCTGATTCTCTCATGTGATACACAGATGGGGTTCAGAGCTCCAGGCTTCACCCTGATCAAACCTTGGTCATTGTGGCCGTTTGGGGAGTGAACCAGCAGAGAGAGGATCTCTCCCTCTACTCTTCAGTCTGCCTTTCAAATAATTACATTTTTAAAAAGTTGTTTAGGACCTCAAAGGTTACCTTCCTGGGCACATCAACAGGAAGCTGAATCAGAGGTGGAACAGCCAGAACTCGAAATGGCAGCCCAATATGGGATACCAGAGTTGTAGGTGCTGCTTATTAACCCGCTGCACCACAATGCAGGCACCTCAAATAACATTTTTATGGGAATAATATTGTTGATACTTGCCCTATTAAAATTAAAACAAAAATTTAAATATTTATTAATTCATTTATAAGAACTTTATAAAATGCCTTACACATTAATAAAAAATGAAAAATGACTAAATTTTCCAAAATAAAAGCAATTAAATGACATGAATGACTTTTTAAATTTTACAAAGTTTTAAAATTTCCGGGGTAATAAACTTCCAAATGCTTACATTAGTGTCTATAGTCAGTCTACTGAGAACTGTGCAGTTCATGTGTGAGAGAAAGGTAAATAATATCTTTTAAAAAATATTTATTTATTTGAGAGATAGAGTTATAGACAGTTAGAGGGAGTTAGAGGGAGAGACAGAGAGAAAGGTCTTCCATCCACTGGTTCACTCGCCAAATGGCCGCAATGGCTGGAGCTGTGCCGATCTGAAGCCAGGAACCAGGAGCCAGGGGCTTCTTCCAGGTCTCCCATGCAGGAGCAGGTGCCCAAGCATCTGGGCCATGTTCCACTGCTTTCCCAGGCTATAACAGAGAGCTGGACTGGAAGAGGAGCAGTTGGGACTAGAACTGGTGCCCATATGGGATCCCAGCACCGCAGGCAGAGAATTAACCTACTTCAGCAACGGCCCCAATATTGTCTTCATATTGTTATGAAGGTACTTTTGACTTCCCAGTTGCCCTGAAAGGTCTTGAAGACATCTGGGAGTCCCGAGATCACATTTAGAAAACTGCAGACCTCGTCCTAATTGCTTCCACAGCTCCCTGATGTCTTTGAAAACACAATTACCACAGTTTATTCAGCTTTTTCCAGAAGTTGTATTGGATCAGAATTGTTCTGCTTGGCCGGCGCTGTGGCTCACTAGGCTAATCCTCTGCCTGTGGCGCCAGCACCTCAGGTTCTAGTCTCGGTTGGGGCTCCGGATTCTGTCCTGGTTGCTCCTCTTCCAGTCCAGCTCTCTGCTGTGGCCCGGGAAGGCAGTGGAAGATGGTCCAAGTGCTTGGGCCCTCATGGGAGACCAGGAGGAAGTACCTGGCTCCTGGCTTCGGATCGGCGCAGTGTGCTGGCCGTAGCAGCCATTTGGGGGGTGAACCAACAGAAAAAGGAAGAACTTTCTCTCTCTCTCTCTCTCTCTCTGTCTGTTTGTCTGTCTCTCTGTTTCTCTCACTGTCTAACTCTGCTTGTAAAAAAAAAAAAAATTGTTCTGCTAAGACCTGCTGCCTACTGGGATTTTAAAATGTTAACACTCAGTGGTTATTTACTTTGGCTGCAGGTGAGAGTGACTGGGAGAGCTTTTAGAGACCTTTTCATGATCACACCAATACCCAAGATCAGTGATATCAGAATCTGTGGATGAGGGTCCAGATATCAGTATTTTTAAGATTCCCATGTGATTCTAGTATAAGACAAGGTTAAGGACCATAGTGGCTATAGAATAAAAGAATAGGACCAGTGAACTCTGACTTGTCCTTCTGTTGGGCCTATTTATCAGGCATTTGTTACTTAAATGTGTTAAGATGTGTTTGTCTCTGTCCCTTTGCTTCCCATTTAACCCACTCCCTATTTTGTAATAATTTCTCTCATTCAATAGTTTTTTTTTTTTAAAGATTTATTTTTGTTTATTTGAAAGAGTTACAGAGAGAGGTAGAAACAGAGAGAGAGAGGTCTTCCATCCGCTGGTTCACTCCCCAGATGGCCGCAATGGTTGGAACTGCGCTGATCTGAAGCTAGGAGCCAGGAGCCTCCTCTGAGTCTCCCATGTGGGCACAGGGGCCCAAAGACTTGGGCCATCTTCTACTGCTATCCCAGGCCATAGCAGAGAGCTGGATTGGAAAAGGAGCAGCTGGGACTAGAACTGGCGCCCATATGGGATGCGGGCACTCCAGGCCAGGGCTTTAACTTGCTGCACCACAGGGCCAGGCTCTCATTCAATAGTTTTTGAGCCTGGTAAGAAAGACCCTTTGTGTGCCTCCCTGATTACCACATTTCCCTTAATTTGCTCTTTTGCATCCATTCTGCCCTTCTTACTCTATCTCATTCCTTTAACTTTTGATGTAGAACTTGATCATAAATTTTTAGGCTTGCTGTATAAGTTTCTCAGGTATTTGCTCTTCATTTGAAATCTGCAAAACTAGTAGTGAGCCATTTTATAATTCCTTTTTCAAAGAGACATAAACCAAGTGAGCATTGGTGCTCTTACTGGCTTTCAAAGGAATAAAGGTGTTTCTGCCCTTAGCTAGGGCCCTCCTGGTCTATCTTAGGCTATGGAGAAGACCTCAGGCTTGCCATGGGATACTTGCCTCAATGACTGAAGTCAGGAATAATCTGACTGCTCTCAATCCCTGTTCCCTGCAGTGAGGAACTGGGGACCACTTACACTGGTAGCCTGCATGAGATGACAAGGAAATAAGTGTATGTACAACATTTGTATATATTTAGGTCTTTCATACTTGAATGCTCTGTTACTGTCTGCCTCATTGTGTATTTCTCTCGGAGTCAGTGAGATTTCTGCTTATACACCAATCTTTCATGTCATTGGCCTTTGGCAATCCTGTTGCTGGGTGTGGGCATGTCCATTTTCTTCCCACCTCTTGTGGAGGATGTTTTTCAAAGCCTGCCTGTTCTACTTGCTCAGAGAATCACAGACACAGTCTGTTGGCTAGAGAAAACTTTGGAGAATAATCAAGCCAATGACCATCCAGGATTAGGAATTATTTTTGAGGTGTCTGTGACATAAGCCCTTTATATACTTCCCATAACAGGGAGCTCTTTCTCTTCTGAGATCCCTTTACTGATGGTTTGGATTCTTTTAAAAAAATATTTATTTCTTTTAAAGGCAGAGTTAGAGAGAGAGAGAGAATCTTCCATCTGCTGGTTCACTCCCCAAATGACTGCAATGGCTAGGGCTAGGCCAGGCCAAGGAGCCTGGAACTCCATCCAGGTTTCCAACATAGGTACAGGGGCCCAAGTACTTGAACCATCTTCCACTTCTTTCCCAGGCACGTTGGCAAGGAGTTGGATCAGAAGTGGAGCAGCCAGGACTTGAACTGGTACCCCTGTTGGATGCCATATGTTGCGGGCAGAAGCTTAACCCTCTGTGCACAGTGCCGGTCCCCAATGGTTTGGATTAGTATGAGAGAAAGTCTTCACAGTGAGTCAAGATAAGCTCTAGGAAGCACAGGGTCACACAGCAGGTTGAGTGACAGAACCAGATTTCAAGATTCTCAACTGAATACTTTTTTGCCACATTGTGATTTCTTTAGGTCCAGGCAGAGACCCTGACTCAGTAAAGTGGTGCTGACCTGTTCCTGAAGAAATGAGGGAGGGTTGCTAAGTCTGGTTGCACATGACCAGGAGAATCAGCAGATGTGATGGAAGAGTGCTCTAGATTGAGAGCAAAAAAGCCTCAATTTGAATTCTGGTTGACACTATTGACTGTATGACCTTGAGTAGGTTATATTCCTCCTTTGAGCTTGCTTCCATGTATATAAAAGTAGGGAGCCTGTAAAGCAGATAATAACCCCCAGTACTGAAGCATCACACAGAGATGTTAGAGAGGGTCTTTGTAGCAGTAAATGGACTCACACTGTCTTTGTGCACAGGTTCGGGAGGCCTTGAGGAAAGCAGAGAAAGAGCTGGAATCACATAGCTCGTGGTACGCTCCAGAGGCCCTTCAGAAGTGGCTGCAGCTGACACATGAGGTGGAGGTGCAATACTACAACATCAAGAAGCAAAATGCTGAGAAGCAGCTACTGGTGGCCAAGGAGGGGGTGAGACCAGCCCTCCTGTGGCCTTCCTTCTGCCCTCCTTCCATCCTCATTACCCCCTGCCTCCCCCTGCCCTTCTACTTCTCTGTCTCTCCTCATCCCCTCTGTTGGGCAAAGAGAATCCCTGTGGTGGGTTCCATTCCTTTTTCTAACGTATGGCTTCCGATAATGTCTTCAAGTTTCTGACGAAGCAAATGGAGGCAGTCATGGAAAAGCTCTGTCCCTCCAGGCTGCCATGGGCAGAGGCTCCCCTTGGGCTGGGGGACATCGGGGAATGCCCTTTTCTCTCGTTCCCTCTATTCTGTTCCTCTCCCATTCTCCTTGACTTTCTTTTGTCTTTCCTTCTTTTCTTCCTTTTCTGTGTGCAGCCCAAGCTTTGCTAGGAGGAGACAACCCAGCCACAGGAAGGCACTTTTCATTTTCCCACCCTCTAATTCCTGCTCTCTTAAGCTGGGGCCTCATTTTTGCAGGCTGAGAAGATAAAAAAGAAGAGAAACACACTCTTTGGCACCTTTCATGTGGCCCACAGCTCTTCCCTGGATGATGTAGATCACAAAATCCTAACAGCTAAGTAAGTGGCACCAGTTATCCACTCTGGCAACGTCCATCCCCTCGCGTTTGCCTCCAGCTCCCATTCCATTTCCTCACTAGAGGAGGGACAGTTGTAATCTCCTGCCCTGGCCCTGGTCCATCCCCTCCTTGCAGTTAAGTCTTTGGGTTTACATTATTTTTATCCACACATATCCCCTCCTCGTGCCTCTGGGAAGAGGCCTTATTTTTGTTGGTGCTCACACCCAGTATGTGCATTGGGTTCTCTTTCATCTGTCTTCAGGCAAGCACTGAGCGAGGTGACAGCAGCACTGCGGGAGAGGCTGCACCGCTGGCAACAGATTGAGATCCTCTGTGGCTTCCAGATTGTCAATAACCCTGGCATCCACTCCCTGGTGGCTGCCCTCAACATAGACCCCAGCTGGATGGGCAGCACACGCCCCAACCCTGCCCATTTCATCATGACGGACGACGTGGATGACATGGATGAGGAGATTGTGTCACCATTGTCCATGCAGTGTAGGTGACCTCTTTGGTGGGTTTGAGGGAAGTAGTGTTTGGTGAATGAACTGAGAAGTCCATGGCCCCTGCTGTGCTTAAGCTGCATATGGGGCAGCAGATACCTAGGAAGACAGTTCAGCACATGACCTAGGCTAATCAGGTGCAGCTTGTGCCAGGATATTTCTAGATTATAGTTGTGCTTTTGATGGTTTTTCCTTGCTCTAGGCTCTGTCTGCCCTTCTGGGTTTATTGTGTAAGTGCATCTCCCTTCATCCTTTGTTTTCCTTTTTTCACTATCCCCCCTCCCTTTAAAAACAGTCTCTTTTAGTGATTCACAATGTAAAAAATGGCATTCATTTTGACTATTTATTGCATTTGTTTATTTTCATTTTATGTTCCTTGTTTTTAATTGCTAAAGTAGATGACTTGAATGATCTCTGTCTCTGCCTTTTTATGTAGGGCCCCAGAAAGCAATAGGCCCTTAAGGTGACATAGCCCTAAACCTTCCAAGCTGGAAGGGCATCTTGCCCAGGAGGGCTGTCCTGCACAAGCGTGTCTGGCTTTCCCCATGATCCCCAGGACTTCCCTACCCCCCACCCTCTGTCCTGAGGTCTTCCCTCTCCCTTCTGCCCCATGCAAATGATGACAGTTGAGTAAGGCAGAGCTGAAAGGAACAACACTCTGGCAATTCTTTAGTGAATGAAAGAGTTTTTCCCTTTCTGGCCCACAGTTGAATTTTTCTTTGAATCAGAGCTATTTTACGTAAACAGAATAGGCCTTATAGTGAAGCTGTTGTCCTGGCCCTTCCCCTGCCCGCACTCCCCCCCACCCCCCATCATGGCCCTGTGCAGAGAGGAAGCAGAAAGCTGAGGCTGAGTTAGGGGCTCACTTTCAGAAAATTAGTCTGGGTTCCCACTCCATTATTTGTGAATTTCTTCAATGAAACTTTGCTCCTGGCCAAGCTTCTTTGTTTCCCTGCTCTGACATTTTTGTCAGGACTTTAGTCAAAGGCCCACCAAGGTTTAGATGATTGCCAAGCAGCGCTTGATCCTGACCTGTCGATGTAATGGCTCTTTTGTCTCCAGGTTGGGAGGGACCTTCGTTAGCTCTGAACTACCCACCCCTCACCCCAGCCTTTGCCTTATCCCATTGATGGGGAGCTGAAGCCCCCTGTAAATCAGATTCTCTTCTCCTTTTGGCCTGGCTGTTGACCCTAGATGCTGCCTGGCTGATGGGGCGTAGGTTCAGTGACCGCTCTCTCTGCTCTACATCCGCCGGCTCGGATGATCAGTCCCTCTGGAAATACCCGGGTTTGAGGAGCCCCTCTGGGGCTTTTGTTTTTCTAACTTTTGGGACTAAACCAACACTCCTACCCCATGGGCACCTTCTCCTGCCTGCCTCACATCCCTGCCTGCATCCTCTATCCCCTCGGCACTGTCCCCACTAACTGCAGGAAGGGGTTCGGGGGTGAGAAGAATCAGCCTGTTCAGCTGAGGGCTGGAGAGAAAACATTCATGGTGATGGAAAGCCTGGGTTCTCCCTGCATCCTGGCTGCACAGATGTCCTGGTGACTCTTCTTCCCCCTGGGATAGAAAGAAGGAAGGAAAGACCGTCCTTCTTTCTCCTTTTCATGCTTCTTCCTTTCCTCCTTGTCTCACCCCTCTTTCTCCTTCCCCTTCTAATTCTAGGTTTCCTCTTTCTCAAGTTTCCCTTTCATACATTTAAAGCCACCAGCCATAGGAGCCCTGCCTCCCCAACTCTCCATCACTACTGGACTGTGCTCTCTCCCTGGTGGCCCTTCCAAGGTTTCTGCCAACTTTGTAACCTTACCCTTTCTCTCATCTTTAGGGAGAAAGCAGAGTGACTCATCAGGGTAGGAGAGTAAATGTCTGCCTTCACTTTTCAGTAGGAGCTGTCAGTGAGCCCAAAGGGGATACTCTGGCACATTCTTTTTTTTTTTTTTTTTTTTAAAGATTTATTTATTTATTTGAAAGACAGAGCTACAGAGAGGCAGAAGCAGAGAGAGAGAAGTCTTCCATTCGATGGTTCACTCCCTAAATGGCCACAATGGCAAGAGCTTCACCATTCCGAAGTCAGGAGCCAGGAACTCCTTCCAAGTCTCCTACATGGGTGCAGGGGCCCAAGGACTTGGGCCATCATCCACTGCTTTCCCAGACCATAGCAGAGAGCTGGATTAAAAGTGGAGCAGCCGGGTGGCAGCTTTACCTGCTATGCCACAGTGCCAACCCTCTGGCATATTCTTTCTTTCTTTCTTTCTTTCTTTCTTTCTTTCTTTCTTTCTTTCTTTCTTTCTTTCTTTCTTTCTTTCTTTCTTTCTTTCTTTCTTTTTGATAGGCAGAGTTAGAGAGTGAGAGAGAAAGCAAGAGAGAGAAAGATCTTCCTTTTTCCATTGGTTCACCCCCAAAATGGCCTCCATGGCTGGTGCACTGTGGCTGGTGCGCTGCGCTGATCCGAAGCCAGGAGCCAGGTGCTTCCTCCTGGTCTCCCATGCGGGTGCAGGGCCCAAGGACCTGGGCCATCCTCCAGTGCCTTCCAGGGCCACAGCAGAGAGCTGGACTGGAAGTGGAGCAACTGGGACAGAATCCGGCGCCCCGACCGGACTAGAACCCGGGGTGCTGGCACCACAGGTGGAGGATTAGCCAAGTGAGCCGGGGCACCGGCCCTCTGGCATATTCTTAAGTTCCCTAGTGCCCCTTCTCTGGGCATGGTGACCATCACCAAAAGCTAGATTGCAGTGTTTTACATGTTTATTCAAGGAAATTTGATACATACTAGCCTAAAAAGCCATCCATAGTCCTGCCATATTTGAGTACCCATTCCTTCAGTTTTTGTCTATGAAAATTTTTTTTTGCGGTTAAGATAATGATAACCACTGTCATCTGTGAGTGCTGTGACCTGTTTTAGGTACTTTACAGACATTATTTCAAAGTCTTAGAACAAACTGCCAGATTTTATAAGTTAAGAATTAAAACAGAGAGTAAGTTTCTAAAGGTCACAGTTAGAAGAGGAAAAACCTTCTTTCTTTCTTTCTTTCTTTTTTTTTTAAAGATTTATTTATTTATTTATTTGAAAGAGCTACACAAAGAGACAAGGAGAGGCAGAGAGAGAGGTCTTCCATCTACAATGGCTGGAGCTGAGCTGATCCAAAGCCAGGAGCTTCTTCCAGGTCCATCTTCTACTGCTTTTCCAGGCCATAGCAGAGAGCTGGATTGGAAGTGGACCAGCCAGGCCTCAAACCGGCCACCCATATGGGATGCCGGCACTGCAGGCGGTGGCTTTACCCACTACGTCACAGTGCCAGTCCCGAAAGACCTTATTTCAAACTCCAGTATTTTTGTTTCAAAGCTTAAGGCTAAGACAAATAATTTTATATGCTTATTTCCCCCCTGAGAATATTAATAAGCATTTTTCCATGGTCTTAAAATCTCTGTCTGACCATCACTTTTAATATATCTATAGGGGAGCTGGCACCATGGGGTAGCGGGTAAAGCCACCACCTGTGGTGCTGGCATCCCATATGGGTGCTGGTTCGAGTCCCGGCTACTCCACTTCCAATCCAGCTCTCTGCTATGGCCTGGGAAAGCAGTAGAAGATGGCCCAAGTCCTTGGGCCCCTGCATCCACATGGGAAACCTGGAAGAATCTCCTGGCTCTTGGTTTCAGATCGGCACAGCTCCAGCTGTTGTGGCCAACTGGGGAGTAAACCATCGGATGGAAGACCTCTCTCTCTCTGCCACTCCTTCTCTATCTGTGTAACTCTGACTTTAAAATAAATAAATAAATCTTTTTAAAAAATAATATATCTATAGGTGTAGCCCCTCAGGGACAGGATGTATTTTAATTTTCCCATTGTTTCACCTTTATAGTTACTTTCATAGACTTATTAGTAATGATGTCATGAACAGACTTGCAAGTCCTTGACTAGGTTATAAATTAATTTCCTGAGGTGAGCTTTCCGAAAAGGCTGGTTCTTAGTGCTCTCCCGGACCTTGCTCCAAGCCCCTATCCCACCCTGCCTGTGTCTTCCTACTAACTGCCTTGCCACCTCCCTTTATAGTGACCGTGCCCGTATGTCTCCTTCCATTGGAGTGCCACTAAAACTGAGCCAGGCACCTCCTCTTTAATTTCCCTTCCTTTCAGGACCCCTGGTGGGAGGTTCTGGGAGGAGATGCCCCGTTCTTCAGACTGGGCATGACAGAAAGGCCCAGAGTAGTCTCCAGCAGGCATTGTTCCGTGCGTTCCTGCCTGCCTGCTGGCCCAAAGTGGGTTGGTTCTTTCTGACACTTTTCTTTACTCTCCTTGCAGCCCCCAGCCTGCAGAGCAGTGTCCGGCAGCGCCTGACGGAGTCACAGCATGGCCTGGGATCTCAGAGGTTGGTAGAGGGCGAGGCTGGCCACTTCTTGACAAGCCGGGTATCTCTGCGGCGAATGCGCAGCCTCTCATCTGGACAGTCTTTCAGTTCTGAAGGCCACGGGACCAGTCCTCCATCTGCCTCTGCTTCTTCCTGCTCCTCTTCCACCATCACCACCACCACCACCACCACCAACACCACCACCATCACCACCGTCCATGTCCACCCTGTTTATTACCATCACAGCACTTCCTATTACCTCCAGATGGAGCCCTACCCCGACCCAACCCTTTCTGACAGCACCGCTGTGATGCCTGGGCATTCAGAGAGCTTGGGGTATCAGCTGTCTCTCTTCTCTTTCTTCCTTCCCTTTCTGCTGCTTTTACCTTGGCCCCTGCCTGCCGGCTGCTGCTTGGTCAACTCTGGGGGTGAGGGGAGGGTTGTGCAGTGCGTAATTTTCTCCTTGTCCTGTCCTTTCCAACTCTGGGACCCCTTTTTAAGGTCAGCCTAATCCTCACACTTTTCCCGCCTTCTCTGTTTGGGTTTTGCTGACTCTAAAAACGAATAGCACCCTTCTTCACTCATGATCCTATAGCACTTTTGCCTAAACTGTGCACTTTGACGCTAGTTATCTGAGTAGGGCCCCCACTTGCTTTACTCCTTCAAGACCCATTTATTGATATCTACTCTGTGTTAAGCTCTGCTGGGCATGGAGATTCATAGATGATAAGCTATGATCCCAGCCATCAAGGACTACAGTCTGGTCTGGGAGAGGTATATAGTAATGGAACGATCTGATAAGTGCTATGGGGGTGTTAAAGAAGGAGTGACTAACATTGTGTGACTGGGTGGAATGCTTCGCAATGATAACATACCACATGCAGGGCAAGGTAAAAGAGTATTCTAGGCAGAGGAAATATTATGTACAGAGGCATGAGGTTGCGAGATAATTTGAAATACTTGTGGTTAGAACATTGGATATATGCGGGTGGGAAGTTCTGATATGCAGATGAAGTGAAAACAATGAAGGGCTCTGAAAGGCTAAGGGCTATGGCCTTTATGAGAGAACTGCAAGTGAGTTTTTAAAAGAAAATGAATCGGCCACATTTGCATTTTAGAGACAACATAATAGGGGCCTGTATGCAGAAAGGAAGGGAAAGGCTACAGGAAATTAAAAGTCATGCAGTAGAGCAGTAGAGGAGGTACTGTGGTCTTGGGAGAGAAAGGAGATGATTAATTTGGTAACTTACTGTGGGCAGAAGGAAAGAGAAGGATCTTATATGACAGGTAGGTTTCCAGCTTGAGTAACTGAATAAATGTATCCTTTATTGAATTAGATAACAGGGCGTAGTTTGGGGGTTTTAGACAAGAAAGTTTATAGGTAGAATAGATATTAAAATATTCACTTTCAGAGTATAAAGTTTTTTTTAAGGATTTATTTTATTTATTTGAAAGGCAGTTACAGAGAGAGAGAAAAAAAGAGAAGTCTTCCATTCCATTCACTGGTTCACTCCCCAAATGGCTGCAACAGCTGGAGGTGGGCAGGTCCAAAGCCAGGAGCCAGGAGCTTCTTCCTGGTCTCCCATGTGGGTGCAGGGGGCCCAAGGACTCCTTTCCCAGGAGCATTAGCAGGGAGCTGGATCTGAAGTGGAGCAGCGGGGACTCCAGCTGGCACCCATATGAGATGCTGGTGCTGCAGGTAGCTGTTTAACCCAATACTCCACAATGGTGGCCCCCTGAGTAGAAAGTTAAGGTTATGAAGGGTTAAATAATTTTACCCAAGGGCCCTCAGCTAATTAGTAGAATGCAGACTGGAACTTGGCTTTTCAGTCTAATACACTGTGTTGGATATTTTTGTCCTTTTACACAGTCTCAATAAGTAAACTAGAAAAGAATTGGGGAAAAGCTATTAAAGGGCTGCCTGCCTAGTTTAGCAGCTGTAGAAATTTTCTCTGTAGATACCTTAGGATAGGCCAGGGTCAGATAGTAGCCTTGACCTTGCCTAGAACAAGCTTAAGGGCTCCTCAGAAAGTCCTTCCTCTCAGGAAAGGCCTATCATCTCTGAAGTTGTGACCCCTGCCCACTCCCGGCCTTTGGGCTGCAGCCTGCTTACTCTGTTGTTTTCTTTTGGTTCTGTTTCACTGTGAGTACCCATATCTGTATCTCTGCCCCTTGAACCTCTGGATAGTTATCCTTGAGGGCTGTTCCTTTGTGTTCCACAAAGGGACTGCCTTTATTAGGATTGTTACTCAGCAGAGCTGTTCACCTTCATTATCATCCTCATTTTCATCCAAAAACCTAGAATGGGAAACTGCTTTCCCCAGTACAGATGGAGAGGGCTGAATTGGGCTGTGGAAATTAGGGAATGCTGTGAATCTCATGCTCTGAACAATAAGTTGAGGGCAATGGGGAGGAAGGGTGGGAGGTATCTGCATCCACCTGGTCCATTCACTACTTAATTTTCTTTTGTACCATGCATCAGAGGATCATCTCTAAAGGCAAACAGGCTCTCTAGTAAGGTTAGTAGATTGGGATGGGAGTCCAAGGCAGCCTAGCCTTTGGGGAGGCACTCTCCTGGCCTCAATGGTCTCAAACGTTTAGGGAGGGAAAGTGAGCCTGCCTCGGTAGGCATTTTCCCTCTGGTATCTCCCCAGGCTTCTCCTCAGTTCTCACCTTGTGTTGGCAATGTCAGCTTTTAGTTGATTAGAGAAGTATAGAAGGATGAAAATCAAGACCAAGTGGGACTGTGACTCAGGAGAAGTGAAACTTGGGAGGGCCCAATCTCCTGACCTTGCTTCCTTGATGTTAGAAAGGTAGGCTTCTAGGTTCCTTACCACCTCAGCTAAAAGAGCTCCCTGTTCTCAGTGTGGTTGCTCCCCTGAACTCCCTTGACACCTTACTCAGTGGCTTATATGTATGTGGAGAAGGCAGGATATGGAGAGGATCATCTTGGGCTTAAGGGAAAAAGAGCACATTTATATAGAAGCATGGACAGGATCAGACATAAGCCAAATTTGAGACCGAGCATTCTTAAACAGTAGAGTACCTGACTGAGACAGTATTTGTATCATGGAAGCTGGAGCTGGAATTGTTCTCCGCTGTCTCCCAAGCCCAGGAAGGTTCCAGCTCATGGCATAACTGTGGAGTCAGATGACTTAGACTGAGAATGCAACCTGCAGTAGCTATGAGACAATCTCCTGCTTTTGCTTGTTTCAGGGGCTTGGCTGCCCTCCCTAACTTCTGACTCTCAGCCTCCTTCTTTCCAAGTCCTGTGGTGCTCTCCTCTCCTGCTCATGACTCTTCCCCTTTGACTTCTTGACTCAGATGTGTAAACATTTCACTTAACCTCTCCCCTGCCTCTGCTGTGGGTTCAGGATTGGAAGGGGACCCTCATGTCTACCCTTTGCAGAGGCAGGAGCACTGGCATTCAGAATTGGTTCATGGTCTTCCTGGGAATAGCCAGCCCTTTAAAGGGTCTCCAGTTTTGGACTAGCCTTTGTGTGTGCATGTCAAGTGTGCAGTGGCATGTCCCCTAACTCAGCCTTGCAAAGAAGCCTTTGGTGACTGGCCCCCATATGGGCCTTCCAGCTTGGCTGGCCTTGTCATTTTCATTCCCAAAATACTTTCTACATTTCCAACTCCTTTACCTACATATTTGATCCTAAACAGTCCTGTGAAAATAATCGAGTTGGTATAATTTTTATTAGGCCAATATGGAGAACAGCAAGGTTAGATTTGTCCAAAATTACACAGAAGAGTCCAGTGCTCTTTTGAACTACTGCTCTTCAGAGGCCAACATCCTGTCTCATTACACCCGCCTCCATTCTCTCTGTCAGCAGAGCTCTGAAAGTGACTCCACCCTTCCTGCTGTCACCACAGACTTTGGCGTAAACTCTGCAACACTTCTCTGTGACCTTCTTTGAATCCTGTGAAAGGGTTGGAAGAGACAGAATCCTGGCCTTTTGGGGTGGGTGAGGGATTGTTTGCAAGGCTATTCTAACCCCCCTCTCCTCCACAGCCTGGGTCAGACCCACTGACTGCATGTGCCCTGTGCCTTGGGGTCTGGCCCACACTGGATGTATCCCCTGGGTGACGGGTCTGAGTTGGGGAGGAAGGCATGGAAAATGATGACTGACAGCAATATGTAGGTTCTGTGTTAGCCTGAGGTTGAGTCCTAGGAAATACAGCCAGCCGTGGGACAACAGAGATTTTATTGAGGATGATGCCTGTGGAATTTGAGCTTATGGTTGTACTAGTTAAGACCCTGGGTATTAGCAGTGGGTGGGTCTCAGGCATTGGAAAGCCCTTTGCTGGATAGATGATGATATACTGACATTTGTTTTTGCTTCTTGTTATCCGTCTCTTCTCTTCCTATCATTTTCCCCTTCTGTTTCCCTATGATTCTTCTTATTTCTACCTAATATCCTTTTTATTTTCTTCCTCTACAATTCTGCTCTGCTTGGTTTCTTCTCTAATCTGTCACAATCTCCTGTTCCTGCCCCCTCTCATTGTGCACTTATGGCTTACTCAACTTCCTTCTACTATTCCTTCCTTTCTCCATCTCACCTGCCTCTTCATCCCTTTTCTCTTTCCTGCCTGCCTATCCCCGTTTCCTACCCTGACCTTGTCTTATTATGTTATCCCTCTCTCTTCTTCAACTTCTCCCAACTCCATCTCCTGTCCATGTCTCTCTCCTTCTTCTTCTTGGCCCTCTGTCTTGCAGGGATTTGACCCATTCCGATTCGGAGTCCTCCCTCCACATGAGTGACCGCCAGCGTATGGCCCCCAAACCTCCTCAAATGGTCCGCACTGCAGATGAGGTTCTCAATGCCATGATTTCCAATAGCAGCCACCGGCTGATTGAGGGAGTCCACCCAGGACCTCTGGTGGAGAAACTGCCTGACAGCCCTGCCCTGACCAAGAAGACAGTACTGGCGCTGAACCACGGGCTGGACAAGGCCCATAGCCTCATGGAGCTGAGTGCCTCAGCCCCGCCTGGTGGCTCTCCACTTTTGGATTCTTCCCATTCTCACAGCTCCAGTTCCCCAGATCCAGACACGCCATCTCCAGCTGGGGACAGCCGAGCCCTGCAGGCCAGCCGCAACACACGCATTCCTCACCTGGCTGGCAAGAAGGCTGTGGCTGAGGAAGATAATGGTTCAATTGGTGATGAGACAGACTCCAGCCCAGGCCGGAAGAAGTTTCCCCTCAAAATCTTTAAGAAGCCACTTAAGAAGTAGGCAGCATGGAGGTGGCAGTGGTGGAACAGCTCATCCTTCCCTGGGTCATCTGCCTCCTCTTCCCTCCCTTCATGAGATCTACCCTAGAGTGGGGTAGGGAAGGTCTGGCCCGGGGGTCTGGGCACTGTACATACCTGCCCCCTCAGCCTTGGGTCCTTCATCATTATTTATTAACTAAACCACCATGGCCTGCCTGCCCTGCCTCCTCCCACTATGGGCTGCTGCTGTCACTCCCTCCCCACTTCAGTGCATGTCTTAGTTGCTGTTCCCTCAGCTCCCAGCTCCACCTCTGGGGTCCAGCTTCTGTCTTTGCTGTCCCAGTTTTGAGTTTTTATTTTTATTTTTTTGTTTCTGTTTCCAGCTTTGAAGCTCCTCCCTTCCACCACTCTCCGACTTCCCCTAGCAGTTGCAGGGAAGACAGGAGGAGTAACTTCTGACACCTGTGCCTCTGATTGGACCCATCCCCGCCCATAATAGTTCTTTTTGCCCCAGACTGGGACCTAGGGACTAATCTTGGGGATTTGTTCTCTGGGAGTGTGGTGGGCCAAAGCTACAAGCTCATCCTGGAGCTCACTTAGGCCTCCAGGGGCCCATGGGAGAGTGAAACCAATTCCCAGAGAACAAGTCACCAGAGAATTTTGAGAGGCCAGGCTTGGGAATGGATTGGGAGAGACCTGCCTTGGTCAGTGGATGTGTGGATGCCAGAACTATGGGCTATAAGGCAGTCACCCTTTCTTTCCCACCCATTCCTGCCTGCCTCTTACCCCTGCTCGGCAATACTGCAGGAGGGTTTGTCTCTGAGAGGTGCTGCCCAAAGCTTCCCCAATATCAATACTCTTGGGGCTCAGGATAATTGGCTCCCCTGCTATGAGGGCCATAGCCATGGCACAGGGCTCTGATGGAGCTCCGGAGATGTTGGGCAAGGATGTTGTTGCTTTCGAACCAAAAGACAAAACAATTTAAAAGAGAAAAAAGAAATCTCCTGAATTTCCCAAGTGCCTGCACCGCAAACTCCCTTTGTCAGACCCCATTTATGTTACTGCATAGCCTGGGCCAGAGGCTTAAAAAGGACACACCTGGTTTGGGGAAGGGGTGGCTAAAGAAGATGGGGTAGGTGAAGGTGGCTGTGTTACTTCCCCCCAACCCTTCCCCTCCTCTAGCCAACTCTCTCCCTTACCTGTTTTTGCTATGGCTGAAGAGATATTTTCCCTCTGCCCCACTCCCTGCCATGCCTTTACCCTGGGATCCTTTTTTGGGTCTGGAGTGGGTGCAACTAGAGCTGGTCTTCGGAGGGTGCTGGGCTGCAGACTGCCTTGTACCCCCTGGAAACCTCACATGGGTTTTTCTGTGTTAATTCATAAGACTCTCTGAAGTCCAATAAAGCATGTAGGAGATTTTAACCTGTGTTGGCTTTCACTCTCATTGTGTTCTCTATGGCTTAACAGACAGGGCATGAAGAGACCATTTCTTGTGCCAAGGTGAAATGAAACTTGAATGCACATATCCTAAAGCTCTCTCTGGATTGGGTTACTAATAAAATACAGGATGCCTAGTTAAATTTGAGTTCCAGGTGAACAATGAATACTTTTTTAGTATGATTATATTCCATGCAATATTTAGGACACTTTTTAAAAATTCACTAAATCTGGCATTTCTATTTCTGGGCCACCTCGATCCTATCGTATAACCTCACCTACGACCTCCATGACTTTTAGAATTACTTCACAGGGAGATGGATGTTGTGGCACAGGGGGTCAAGCTGCCACTTGGGATGCCCTCATCCCATATCCAAGTGCCCGAGATTGAGTCCCACCTCAGCTTCCTGCTAATGCTCACCCTGGGAGGCAGCAGGTGATGGCTTAAGTATGCCCAAGTGGGCAACCTGAATGGAGTTACTGGTACCATAGTTTCAACTTGGCCCAACCGTGGCTGTTGTGGGGCTTTGGGGAGTAAATCAGAGGATACAACATCTCTCTCCCTTTCTCTCCATGTTGCTCTGCCTTTCAAATAAATACATAAAAACTTAAAAAGAAATCACAGGGAGCTCAGGCAAGCATCTGGAGGGCAGTGAGGAACCCATGAAGTTTTGAACGGTTTTAGGGAAAGGATGACCCAGATGAAATTTCATAATGATCACTTTGGGTAGCTCAAGTCAGAACATGCTACATCAGCCATAGTGTATTAGGACTCTCATCTCTTACCCTTCAGATTCAGTCAAGTCCATCCTACTTCAAGTTAACAGTTGCCTTATTGCTGCCCTTGCTTCTGCCACCATCCACTGAACTGTGAGAGCAAACAGGTCATGGTCCTGCCCTTCTTAAAACTCACAGGACTCCCATTTCCATCAGGAGAAATCCCATGGCTATTGTCCTACCGTGGCTTTTTCCAACATGACTAAGTACTAGACAGTGACCTCCAGCTGTGCCCACATCAGATAGCAATCTTGGGGGTTCCTATCGTGAAACAGCTAAAGCAAGAGAAAGGGACAGGTGCTGTGGCACAACAGGTTATGCTACTGGTTATGATGCCGGCATCCCACTCTGGAGGGCTGATTCCATCTGCCTTTTTTTTTTTTTTTTCTTTTTTTGACAGGCAGAGTGGACAGTGAGAGAGACTGAGAGAAAGGTCTTCCTTTTGCCGTTGGTTCACCCTCCAATGGCTGCTGCAGCTGGTGCACCGCGCTGATCCGATGGCAGAAGCCAGGAGCTTCTCCTGGTTTCCCATGGGGTGCAGGGCCCAAGCACTTGGGCCATCCTCCACTGCACTCCCGGGCCACAGCAGAGAGCTGGCTTGGAAGAGGGGCAACCGGGACAGAATGCGGCGCCCCGACCGGGACTAGAACCCAGTGTGCTGGCGCCGCAAGGTGGAGGATTAGCCTAGTGAGCCGCGGCGCTGGCCTCCATCTGCTTCTCTCCAGTTTCCTGCTAATGTGCATCTTGGGAGGTAGCAGATGATGGGGCCCCGACACCTACTGGGAGACCTGAATGGAGTTCCAGGCTCCTGGCTTCTGCCTGGCCCAGTGCCAGCTGTTACAGGGATTTGGGGAGTGAACCAGCAGATAGATGGACCCCACCCCTCCCAGTGCCTTTCAGATAAATAAAGAAATCTTAAAAAAAATTCTTGACGGGTCTTTTTTTTTTGAACAAACAGTGGTAACATTTATTAATATTTACAAAGATTGTGGTTCAGAATAGGTCATAGGGGCTCAGTTATAAAGGAACAAGTGCTTGGGATTATCAAACAATGCTGCAGGGATGACCAGACCAGAATGGAACTAAAAGGAACAATATTTAAAAATGAACCCAAATTCACAGAAGATTACATTTCCGTGGTGTTAACCCACTGAGAACATTAACTTTTGAAATGACTTTAGTAAGAGACAGACCTTTTGGACAGATCTAAGTGACCGCTTCAATATAGAAACATATATAGGCTGCTGGAACTCAGAATAATCCTTATGCTTGCGACACCTTCCAGAAAAAGTTCAAGTGTCTTAGAAACAATGGGGCCAACATCACACAAGTTATGAAAAACTACAAATGGGTCCGATCGGTGTCAGGATGTCTCCAAGGTTGCTTTTCTCAAGCGGACTGGTGGGGTCTTTCACTTCACAAAATAACCGGCGACATCTAGCCAGGGCTGTCTCCTAAAGGGGCAGGGTGGGGCGGGGCCTGGCGGGTTCTGCGAGCTTCGTCAGAGCCCGGAGGACCGATTCAATTTTGCCCACACACAGCATGGCGGCGGGGAAACAGCGTTTCCGGGGCAGAGGCGCAGTCTCCTTGCCCATTTTCAACATGGCGGCGCCGGGCGAGGCCGACTTTCTATTAGTCCTGCCCATTTACCCTCCGGCGTTGGCACCTACGACTAACGTCATCGAAGCTGTCGCTCCGCTTTTGCGTCACGGGTGGCGGGAGCGCGAAGGGGTTCGGATTGTCGCGCCTCTGCTCTCGCTTGGAAAGTGCTTTCTGGTTCCAGCTCCAGTGCCTGCGCCCGAGCAGCCCCGGGAGTCAAACCCTCCGCGCTCGGCCACCCTCTCGGTCCCGCCGGTACCCTAGAGCTGCAGCAGCGTCTCGAATCCTCCAGCGCCTCGGTCACCAGCGGCGATGCATGTGATCAAGCGAGGTGAGGGGCCCGGGACGGGCTGGGTGGCTGAGGGGCTCGGGGACGTGGGCTGCCGCTGCGCGAGCCGTGCCCCGGCCGCCCGCCTGCCGCAGCCGCCGCTTCCCGCCCTTCCCGCCCTTCCCGCCGCCGCTTCCCGCCCTGTCAGCAGCTCTGCCCCCATCCTGCTCCCGGCCTGCGCTCTGCGCCCCCTCGCCTAGGTCGTGGTGCTGCCTTTCGACAGAACAACTTTGACCCCGGATCGAGAGGCCGGGCACTTTCTAGGCGCTCTTTTCTTCCTCTCCACAAGCCTCTGAGATGGGCATTATTGGCCCCACATTTTAGATGCAGAAACTGAGGCTCGCAGAGAGGTTTCGGTGACTGATCCCAAATCACCCAGTTAATTGATGGAGAGGCTGGGGTTGAACCCCTAGCTGACAGCAGGGCTTTCTCTCAAAGCCGGGGGGGGGGCGGGCGGCGGTTGGAGTTGGTGACCCGTGTTAGGCAAAGAAGGAGCAAGTAAGAAGGGACTCTCTCCTACGCAGGCGCCCAACGTTTTCCTGATCTCTTGTGGGGTAAAGGTAGAGATGTGGAGTGAAAAAACAGGTCCCAGACCCAGACTTTGCCGTGTTGCCATAATCCCCAAGAAGTGCCCCAGAGGGATGCTTGGGGGAAGAGATTTACACTGAATAAAAACCCGGTGTCTTAGGACATCTGACCGGATGGAGACTGGGAAGAGCCAGAGTTGTATGTTTCGCAACAGTGATTTCTTTTCTTTTTTTAAATTTATGTATTTATTTTCATTTTGCTTGGGGGGAGGGAGGGAGGGAGGGAGGGAGAGAGAGAGAGAGAGAGAGGTTCAGTCTCCATATTAGACTTGCCGAGTCTCTTTTGTGTCCAGCCCTTTGGTTGGCTCTGTGAGATTCCAAAAGGAGACAGTCCCTACTCCCTGCCTTTCCAGGTTGGAAAAACAAGAGTGACACATAACAGAAAGCCATGTGAGACAGGTGTAGACAAAGTTTTAAGTGGAGTCTGTTGACTTTTAGTAAATACTGACTGGATTGACTGACTGGATGTTTCTGTTTTGTCCAGTAGGCTGTGAGTGTTTCAAAGACGGGGACTTTTCTGCTCACACTTAAGCATGGTGCCTGCAATGAATAGGTGCTCAAAGAATGAATGAGAGAAGTTATATCAAAGTGTAATATATAGTGATTATGTCCAGATTGGTTGAACTACAGCCAAGAGATGAAGTAGATAGTGGTGGTCCTTCCTGCTAGAGATCGCCATTCTCCAAATTTCCCTGACATCCCCCATTTTAGCTGCTGAGGCCAGAGACGGAAATACACAGTGAACTTTTATTGATCTATTCCTGAGAGAGATGAATACCCTGTTTGTAAGCCTTTAGGCAGGGATCTTTGAGCATGGTCTTATGGTAAGCTGGTAACAGATGAATTGAAAATTTATACACTAGATTGCTGAAGTGTGTAATACTTCTGCGTTGAGTCTTTAACCTTTTGGATTTACTTTGAAATACTGAAGTTTAAAAAGTACCATCTACAAACTGCTCTGTGGGCAGAGTTTATTTTGCTTCTCATTCCTTCAGAGAACATAACTTGATCTGTATGGCTAATGCACTAGATTTCTGCCATTGTAGCATTCAGCAAAGGTTGTTAATATTAAAAATGTATTAAGATTTGCTTGCTTTATTTATTTTTAATTTTTAAAAAAGATTTTTACTTATTTATTTGCAAGTCAGAGTTACACAGAGAGAGGAGAGGCAGAGAGAGAGAGAGAGAGAGGTCTTCCATCTGCAGGTTCACTTCTCAGACGGTCGCAACAGCCAGAGCCATGCCGATCTGAAGCCAGGAGCTTCTTCCAGGTCTCCCACGTGGGTGCAGGGGCCCAAGGACTTGGGCCATCTTCTACTGCTTTCCAAGGCCATAGCAGAGAGCTGAATGGGAAGTGGAGCAAGCCTGGACTAGAACTGGTGCCCATATGGGATGCTGGCGCTTCAGGCCAGGGTGTTAACCCACTACGCCACAGTACCGGCCCCTGCTTGTTTTATTTTAAGGCACATAGGATGCTCTTATTTTTGGCATGCCTATGAAGTAGCAGAGTAACTCCTGTGTTTGTTAATTTTAATGTAATTATTCAGGGGGGCAGCAAGAGTTGACTTACAAGTACTAACTGGATGTGTTAACGTCTTGCTAAACACTGAAGAAATAGATGGCGAAGGCAGCTACATCTTCAAAGATCTTCAAGTTGTTAGGGATTTAGAACTAATCCATGTGAAAATAGATAA